AGGACACACATTTGCTGCTGTTATTCACACCGACACATCGCGCTGGCCTTCCACAGCACCGCCAAACAGTGAGCGACGTCTGGGCTACCGTACACGTACAACCCGAAATCACGACAGCTCGTATGTTTAATTCTAGCCCTTACTGTCCTGATGTGGGTCTTCAAGGTATGCCAACTTGGTTTTCATTTCCTTTAAGGGACAAATGTATTAAAAAAGAGAGTAAAACCTAGTGATTTGAAGGTAATACTAGGGAACTGGAACCTCTCATTCAGTCCCAGCTCCAAGAGATTCCTTTTGTGACTCTGGGCAAGTCACTTCACATCTCATCCCTGATTTCCATTTTCCAGAAAAGACAAATAGCACTTACTATAAGAAGAACCTGTTTGCAGATGCAAAGTGCTTCCTATGTTGTACATAGCACTAAAAACTACTCTCAGACAGACTGAATTCCCAAACCGATCGTTTTTTATTGCAGTAACTATGATTTCCATGTCAATCAGATTATAGAGGTATTGACGGAACAGGACAGGAATTCCAGGAAGAGGTCCAGCTGCTTTTTATTATCTGTTGTTCCCAAATTAAAGGAAAGAATTTGCAATTAGCAAGTTGCCCATCACTATGTATATTTAAAATACAGGAACCTCCAAATTAGCGGAGCATGAGGAAGGACATGTGTCCTTGATGACATTCCAAGGTCTTCAGAAAGGCTAAACAAACTGTTTGTTTGCTATATACAGATCTTCAAACCTGGAAGATGTGAATCCAAAGTTTGCCCTTAGCCAAGAGCCTCCCTTAGCAGCAGCAAGTTATATTTGCACCACTCGATCAAGTATAACTTGGAGGAAAGGGTTTTGTTTCATCACTTCTACGTAAAGAAAAGACTTTGCATATATATGTGCATGCATGTCTGTGTGTATATGTACGTACCTACACACGTACGAGTAATTCACAGAGCAAAAAACTAAGAGATTAGATATGCAACCCAAGAATTTCTCCCCCTCACCTATTTGTATATTTGCATAGTTAAATCATATCAAGGCATCAATACTGCAGTTACATTTTTCACTCTTCTGTGGTGCAGGCAACTTTTCTTGTCACTCCCTACATGCTTCTCTGTCTTGGACGGAACAGCACCAGTGTTTTAAAAATGAAACAAAACAACAACAGAAACCCTGCATTGTTGGTGAAATGCCTATCCCACGTGATGGAATACAGATACAAATAGGTGGCAGCTTTTAAACTCCATCTCAACAAGCCATAATTGTGGCAAGCCGAGAAACATGAGCGATACAATCACAACCTAACATTCATGGGTTCAACACTTAAATTACAACCAACACAAATCTCTATTACCTTTGCATTTGAGAAATTCACCAGGCACAGAATCAGGCACATATCTTCGACTTTCCTTCTCCAAGTAGGGAAACCCACAGGAAAAGGAAATAAACTATATTTCATATTTGTAAGAAAGCTAGCATGTTACCCACAACATTTTTTTTCCTGTCAAAATTATACTACCCATCATGCCCTTTTCCTATTGCACATTCTCTTTGTGAAGAACAACATTTACAGTACAAGGCTGAAACCAACATTGCATATTGTAAGTCAGCAGTTGAAGGTGTACCATGTAGACAGTAACTGAAACAAGACCCCTTTAATTAGATAAGAGAAGTAATGCAGACATGGTCATGCATCATAATCGCAGGTTGGTCTTTAAACCCCCAAATAGTTTCATCCTGTTTAGAATTCAAGACTTTCTAGGTAACAGATGCACTCACCCTGTGCTGAAGAGCGTACAAAAAGGGCAACATCCAGATTGTCACACACTGGAATCTCCCTAGAGAAAGCTGGAAACGGAAGAGGCTTGTACGTAACTTGGAGCATCATTGTTTAGAAAAGATACCAGCAAGAGACTTCAGTTGTGCGCTGCTAAGAATTACTAAGCAGAGGAAAAAAAAGATTCCTTTGAAGAAACACTGTTCAAAGCAGTGCAAATACTCTGGGACCCCCTTGCGATAACGGCACACCACAGGAGTTAGCCGGGATTCAAGAGTATATGTGGGGGCAGCCTGTTGCCCCATGAATCACTTTAAACAGGCAGTCCCTAGAAAACTTTGGATATCTGGGTCAGGAACACATAGAAAAAAGGATAAAGGGCATTTCAACGATGAGAGAAAAAGTTAAATTATTTAAGTGTTGAGTAAAGCACCAGGTATCTTTTCCTTTCAATTTAGAGAATATACAGTGGCCTTGTTTTCACAAAATGCTACATACTCCTTGCTGGAAAGCAGAGGAAACCGATTTCTATGTACACAGTAAGAACTCTACAGAGATGGCCCGCGAGTTCTGCGGAGAAAGGGGTGTTACAGTCAAGGCTTCAGGTATTCCACAGCAGGCGGTGTCTACATTTGTGTAGCAAGATCCTGGATTTCACAGTACGCAGGGCTGGCAAACTGGAAATTCTCTGGCAGCTTCATGTAGTTTTAAAAAATAAGTGCAGTAGGCCTCCATTTTATTAACTGTGATAAAAAGCATATATGCAAAAATATTTTTATATCGATAGCACATTACTGCATTATAAAAGCTGCCCAAGTGAAGCTGAAGATTCTGGCAGCTGGTGCTTTTGGCACTTGGGAGATGTGGAAAGCAGCATAGAGATCTGTGAAATACAACAGTGACTGATGTTTCTGCTACAGTGATCGGCATTAATATAATTAGCAGTGTTCATATTTAAACTTCTCTATGAAGTTTCTGAGTCAATATCCCACTAAGAGGAGATATTCAGATCTCTTAAAGCTACTAGTTTAGGCTGTGTGCAGACTCAGGAAGACTTCCCTATTAGTTTACACTTTTCATGTGTTTCAAAGTCCTCTTTCAATCACAAAGGCTGGAAACACTTTTTTCCTCCTCTTTTAAAGAGCCTGGATTTAGAAGCGCAATTCTGTCACAGGAGTTGGAAACTGTAGTCACAAATCTGCAGAATATGCTGGGCCCTGCTTATACTAGAAATCTCCTCCAAGTCCCAGATTGAAACAGGATATAAACTGTTTTGAGATGGCCAAACGGTTTCATTTAAGTTTACAAGACATGCATTAGCAATGGGAGGAGAGTCCTTTGGACATTTCCACTTGGGAATCCTGTTTTCAGTAAAATTCTGTGATGCACAAACACAAAAGCTCAGCTGCCTACATTCACAATTATTAAAATGACACAAGTTGAGCGAACCTTCGCCCTAAAGCGTAAGTGATGGGTTTGCTTATGCAGCCTGCATAAAACTGCAAGTGCCATATAATCATATCTAGAGATATAGATGCGGGTATATCTATAGATATTTATGTCTTGTGCAGAACGTCCTCCTTCCGTGCTAGAAGTTAAATGCTAGCACATGCCTCCACATTTGAGCTTGCACCTGTTGACAGCTATGTACCATAAAGGGAGTACAGTACCTGGACAATGGAAGGCAAGAAAAGGAAGACAAGTTGCTGCTGACTGTTGCGACGGTCAGCAGCAGGCAGTATTCTAGCAGGTGCCCGGAAAACCCATGAAGACCACTTAGCATGCATTGTATATCCATAAATACTTCTTGCAGGCACTGTGTGTGAAGGCACAGCCAAAAAAGACAACAGCAAAGACAAGCTGAAATACAAAGGCATGAATTCAACTGCACCTTAGACAAAAACTGTGACTATGCCTCAAAAAGCAGAAAACTGATACAACCTGACATTAAAGTCTGAGATGCAACGTTTTCTTTCAAGCCCATGAAGGCTAAAACCACAGTGGTGCAAGTCCGCTCTGCTTAAGCAGTTCCCGGGTTTTAAAGAGCACCACGGTCAGGCAATGTCTCCAGACTTGCTTGTCACAGGCTATTAAACAGAAGCAGATGAACACAGCAGGTTGCAATCAGCATGTTTCAGGGCTAGCAAATGCTTTCCACTACAGTTCAGGCCGTTACAAGAAAGACGCCCGTGCATTCCCTGTCAGGACGCTTGTCTGCTATGAGAAGCCGTCATGACCATATACATTCACAGCCCCACAGAGTTCTCAGATGGGTCCGTTTCAAGTGATGCCACCTTCCAACCACAGGCATTAGAGGAGAAATGTCGCCTGCCTTCACAGTGGCCATGGAGACTGTCTAGTCCAAGCTCCATAGGAGCACTGAGCATAACGTTTTGGCACTTGAATAAGATGGATCCCACCATGGCCATGCCATAGAAGCTCCAGAAGCCAAAGAAATGGGCTTTGGCTTCTATTTTGTACATCACAAGGTACCTAAGGGCTCTGAAGACAAGGCTAAACATTATGCCTGAAGTCCAATTAAACTACCATTTCAGATATAAGAATTAATCTGAATAAAAAGCTATGGTTTATAAGCAGCACAGCACATCTAAGGCACATGTATGCATGCAAGCCACCATCACTGCATTAAGACATTGCTGATTTGTCCTTAAGAAGCAATGGCTGCTAGTACAGAACGAACATATAGGCTTTTTTCAGCACTAATCCTCCTCCCCAATACTGAAAATACTATATACTGCTGACAGCATAATGTGCAACATATATAGCTTGATTGAAAAGCATGGGGCAGAACTTTAAAAAATGTACAGGATTCCGTTTAGAACTCCAAAGTTCAACAAATGCCCTATTTTAGGGTGAAAACAATTATAAATCTGATAATGATGCACAGCATCCATGAGTGATTTTTCCTAAATTTTGAAATAGTGTCATTAACTACGACATATATTGTAGGTTTACATTTCTAAAGAGAAATAACAGAATTGAATAGTTTTTTTTCCTATCACAAGTGATAACCAGTGTTTGATATCTTCTATTTTTCTTCCAAGAAATATCAGTCTATCAACAGTTTTAAAATAAAATGTTTTCTGTAACAATAGAACTTTAAATAAAAATATGATTTTGATTCAGGTACTTTTGAGAAGACATGGATACTTTTCCAAGATCTTCTGACAAAGTAATTATTAAAACAGAGACCAGATGAGGCCTTAAAAAGACAATATACTATATTTCAGACAAGATTGCACCTCAGTTTTTCAAATAATATCATAATTGCAACATTACTTCATCATTTCTTCTTTTAACATGCTGACAATTTCCAGCTAGCCCACGTGTGAAGTTTTTTTGTTTTTGTACTCTAGCTTAAAGAAATAAAAGTCAGTAATTTATTCAGCACATACTGTATATGTCTTTCCACCTCCAATTGACTAGATCATTAATAAGTTAGAAAAAAAAAAATCCTCTCTGACCATAATCACTATCCTCATGAGGGATAAGTGATTCTTCAGAGCTTATGTGTTGCTAGTTCTATTAAAAAATATACCATGGTATGATTTCTTAATGTGTTGCTACTTTCGCAATTGGACCCTATGCAGTTATGCCTTCAAACTCTTCCGTCTGTTCCACAAGGTGGTTCTGTGAGCTTTAGGACCTCTGATTGAAGACAAACTGATACAAAACCCCCAAACGGAGTTGTCTTCTGTTTAATCCGCCTCCCCCTTTGTATGTCAGGGGTCTGGTAGATCCGATGTATCCACTATGACTTTAATAAAAATAGTATCATCTTTAATATACGTTCCATTCTCTAGGACAGTTTGAGCCACAAAGACTGGGCAGCCAGATGCAATGTTCATTTCTCCAGTTGGCTTCTTGAAACTGCTGCTGTTTGGATCTGGCTTGAAAGCATCTCCTAAGTGGCGCCGAGACGGTCCCTGATCCATTAGCATGAGAGTCACTTTCTGTTTAAACGGCCAAGGAAGCAATGCATCGTATTCTCCACGCATTATGACAAAAAACAGCGACAAGTGCGTCCCCTTTCCCATGCCATCTCCGTTAAGGTAAACTCTGGCACACATCTTGTAGCCAAAGTATCCAGTATAAAAGGGTTGGCTGTACAAGGACAGAGTCTTCCCCATGACTGCCTCTTGCTTCCGACGTTTATAATCTCGAATTTTCCAAATTAATACTCCGTTGTAACTGGCGGTTTCTAAAACTTGGAATCGGAGATCCATGTCAGCCAGCCGAATATCATGAACACTCAGCATCTGATCGTGTCTGCTCAGCTGTGTCTCTAGCAGGCCTGTTAGAAAGCAGAAAGGACAGGGGTGAGAAAAGTGTTTTTTTCTGAGGACTGTAAAGATCAACCACCACTGCTGCTATTACATATTAAAACACTTTCTTCCTCAAGAACCAAAGTGCAGTCAGCCACTGATGAAGCAATTTCCAAGGACAGCAGTTTGTCAGCTAGTATCTAGGTTAACTGGGATTTTTACAAACATGGGTGCTAATCACACATGCAGTAAAGTCAATATTCAGATAATCTCACAAAGTTTGCCTGGTGCCTAAGCAATATAACTATAGAGGCTTCCATTTTTTGAGAGAAGACCTCGTAGCATTATCAGTGGATTCCTATTAGCAGTGAAAACCTTGGAAGGGGTCACACATCCTACATAATCCCTCTGAAATTCAGAGGCATCGCTGATCAGTCAAAATATTCTTGTCAGCCACTACTTGCCTCAGAAGCATAGTGCTGTTAGAATGTCTAAAATTCATCATAAAAGAACAGAAAATTCAAGCCTAGCTCTGTGTTATATGGTCACTTATCCTGTTCAGCGGGAGGGCTGGTTTTAACACCCCCTTTACCCCACATGAAAATGACTTTGACTCTGCACACTGGCAAAATTGGCCAACATACAATACCAAGAAGCAGATGAATTCATAAGGCAGGTTTGTTTTACACAGATCTGTTTAAATGTCACGTTCTTCGTCTTAATCACTTAAACACTTACATATGATCTAGACACTACCTCGCTAAACTCCAGTTTTCACTTTATCCAGCAAGCACAACAATAACCTCATTCTCAAGCACATTTCAGTTTTCTCTGGATCAAATATACTTCTGTAACAGGTATCGGGACAGGTGGTTTCAGGTGGATAACCATACTGTTGATCCATTCATGGGGGAGAAAAGTAATAAAAGAAGACTTGTCAATATACCAAGACTGCATTTAAAGAAGCTGCTGAAAGCTGTTGGCTGTCAAAGATCAATTGAGAAACTATTTATAATGAACTAACACTGTAATCAAGACAAAGGTCAAGAAAATAAAATAAGAGACAAGAATCAAGCCTAAGAAACATCATGGAAGCAATGTCACACCATCAAAGGAATTACGCAGTTTCCTATTCAAAAATCAGAAGAATCACCATTATTGATGCTTCCATATAAAAATCACAATGGGAGCGCCATTCAAAGCACACCTTTTTCTCTTGACAGCACTGCTGAGTCCTTCAGTCCATTGTGCTTACACTTACTTGTATTTCGAGCTCCTTGCCCTGCCGTTTTATCAACACTTTCCAGCTCAGTCACTCTGTTCTGGAGGGATTCTACACTACTCTTCATGCTGTCAGCCTCCTCCCAGTTCTGTCGGAAGGGACGGATTTCTTTGTCCAGTTCTTTCAGTTTCTCTGCTTGACTGTCTATCACTCGCTTTATAAAACAATAAGTAATGAGTTAAAATAACAAAGACATTAATTTATACAAATTAAACAAGGATTACGTATCGATATATTACATACCAATATAAACAAGTTTCATTTACATAAAATATTTTAGTAACAGAAACCTTGAAAATTTATAGGAATAGCCCAAGTATCTATAAAATACTTATAAAAATCTTCAGTGCTGCGTAGGTATTAATATGAGAGCACTATCAGAATTAACAACACAATTATTTTAAAAAAAAAAAAAAAGGAATTGTTTGTGTGCTCTTGTCTGAAGACTGAATTTTTTTTAAAAAAACCTTTCAATGCAAGAACAGTATTCTCAATGTCTCTATAGTGATATTATGGGCTGATAGGTGTTTGGTTTCATGTCACGAGTACTTAAGCAATGAAGTATGGGCACAACAGCTTACCATGGTGTGAATCAAGTAGCTGCACTTATCACTGGGTAACAGCAAAACAACTTACCCCTCCAGAAAAACATCAGTACTCTTGCACACATGGAGCAGGAGTACATATATTTGAAGATATAGCAGCATTAGGAAGGTCCAAGCCCACATAAATCAGTTACTAAGTTATTACATACCCATAACCGTAGCAGAAGCCCTCAAGAGTGTAAGCAAAACTACTACCACTTCTGTCCCCTTAAGCACTTTCTAAATTCCCACCCTTACTTCCTAAATAGAGTAAGCCATCGTCCTGAAGGTGCTTGCTGGTTGAGTCTTTTTAAGAAAACAAAGCAAAAATCCCAGTTGATTTTGGAAAGACACGAAATATAATACTCCAGAAAAAAATACATAGGCTGGTATTCTTTGAAAAACGAACACTGCAAGCACCTTGGTATATTACAAATATAAAGAAGAACGTATTTCCCAGTCTACCTCAAGTCTGATGCACGAAACACACAGCACTCCATGTTATCACAGGTAATTTGGACTAGCAGGAATTTTAGCCAGAACCTCATAATCAACTGTGAAGTTCAAATGATAACACAAATATTTGAGACAAGAAACTACTTTTGCTACCACCTACAGTTAAATTCCAAATCTAACTTTATAGTTTTATCATCATATAGCGCCAAGATGTCTAAAATGATTTTTCACTTCTTAAAAAAAATAGCAGTTGAGGAGAAAACAAGAAAATAAAGTTACTTTGCATTTGCCTTCTGGTTAGCCATGTGGATTCAATGTTCCCCACTGATGGGGAAAACCCTTCTGCCTCATGCAGCCTTCATTTCCCCTTTTAGGCATTTGCTTTTAATCATGTGGTTTCAGTTACACTGAAAGTCTGTAACGATTAATTTAAGGCTGTCAATTTGATAAGCCAGCTAGCAAAATCATGTTCTAGGAGTGTTTTATTTTGTGGTGTCTCAAAAACCACTGAGTATTCTAACATATTTCAAAATTAACTATTTATTTCTCTGTTGGTGTTTTAAAACAAGTTCATGTATCTCACTTGCAAAATTACGACTTTGTGAAGGAAAGCTGTGTACCGAATCGTAACTGCAGGTGTACGGTCCCATTAAATAGATGGCACAACTTGCCTTGATGTACTAATCAGCAGCTACCACCAGTCACCCTCTCTCTTGGACTGATGATAACCAGCAAATAAAACAGGGAGGGCTGTTAGCTATACAAATAAAAGGAAATACACCATGGAATGGCCTGAACGAATGTCCTGAGAGCAGAGCCACAAGATTTGGCCATTAGTTCACCGTTAACACACAACAGTGAACTCAAGGTGTGCTCAAGTCTCATCTTTTTCCTCTACTCACACAAAACACAAACTCTCCAAGGCAAGTACAGTAACACGGTCGTGGGTTTATACAGTGCCTCACACAGAGATGCTCTGATTTCCAATTGGGACTTCTTGGCACTAACACAGTATCAAACAAAACAAATATGTTTTTAGATTAATCTGGATAATGGTAAAGATGCAGAAGAACTGTAAGCTATTTTTCTTTTGGGAAAAAAGTTTAGTAAACTGTTACTAGGGACCAATTTCTCTCCTGTGTGCAACATACTCCTTTTGTATATGCACAACCAATTCTATTTTTTTAGCTGCTTCTACTACATGTTGGCAAATGCGTAGCATTTTATCTCCTGTACCTCTTCAGGAGAATTCAAGAGATACAGAAGCGCAAACTGACTTGTATTCGGTTTTTAAAAAGCAGTGGGACCTCTATCTTTTTACTCTACGTGGAGTCAACCTCCCTCATGCTGGGAGATACTGATGTACTAAATCTGAATTTAATGGAGCAGTAGAGAATTTCACTCTAATTATTCCATTAGAAAGCACACAGATGTCTCACACTGTACTCATAAATTTTCAAGTAGATATCAATTTTCTGCATGCACTTTTTAATCCAGCAACTGACCTCTCCAGATCATTAATCCAGAGTTATATGCCTGCAAGCTATTGAGGGCTCTTTTTGATGTTGATTTTCATCTAGGTTTTGTTTGGTATTTCTAATAAACTATTTCCAGAATTTTAGCACTATTATTACTAAAAGAATTTAGAAAATGTCATGAGAACCGACGAAAGTTCTATTTGTAGTTCTCTTTCAGATGCTCCTAAAGGACCTTTCTATTGCAACTGATAGAGCAAAACTGAAAAGCTGAAGAACACACTAGAAAAGGGACTTGACTGGAGATGCTCCTAAAGGACCTTTCTATTGCAACTAATAGAGCAAAACTGAAAAGCTGAAGAACACATTAGAAAAGGGACTTGACTGAGAAAACAAATCACACATCCTCCTCCCTTGAAGGACTGTATTACCAATCAAATCATTCCATATTCACAAGGTCACTGTTTCTTTTGTCTTTAAGTATCTCATGTCCACACTCAGCTTAAGGCTTGGCTTCCTAATATGCTTCCACATACTCATAAGAGACTGGACACTGGATGTTAAAGTTCCCTTCCACAAGACAGCAGTCAAAAAAGTATCACATACTCTCTTGGTAAAAACTTTCCCAAAAGACCAGTATACAGAAAATTAATCTGAATCAAAACATGTCACGGTTGAGGTTCCTGCCAGTGCCCAGACACCTTTGATGCATTTACACTGGTTCTGTTAAATGACTCGCAGTGCAGATGATGCCAGTCGGGCTCAGTGAAACAGCTGTTTCCAAGTGTAGTGGTTTGGTGTCTGGCGGCGTTTTGG